CTTAGAAAAATGAAATGTGTTTACAGCTACCCTTGGGTAATTACAATCCACATTTTATATTCCGTCCCCTTTGAAATTCTCATGAAACAGGAAAAGATAATGGGTGATAATATTCATTATGTAGAAAGCCTTTGAATAATGCATCGGAGATTCATTAAAATAAATAGAAATAATATATTTTAACAGCCCAGCCACAAACTAGTTGGGAATACTGAGTAATGAATGGCATGGCAGGGCCAGAGGCTCTCACAGCCGCACTGGTTTTGGACAGAAGATGAGCAATGCATGTTTGAAATCCATAGGCATTTCAAAGTTTCCTCTCTGTTTCTTAAGGAAACCATACGATTGCCTTGAAGTTATAAGAACTACAGGAGGCATTATGTGCTTAAAATTATATTGCCATCACAGGCAAGACCTAATATATCCAAACCGAAGGTTAAGTGCAGTGCAGTATGGGGCAAAGGCCACTGGATTCAAAAACCAGAGGCCCAGCCTATAGTCTCTTGCTTTGTGATCTTGTACCATTTATCTGTTACCATGGTGGTGATGTGTAAAAAAACCCACCCACATCAGTGGCATCCGGTGATAAGCACTGATTTCTGCTGCTGATCAGAGCTGGGTTCCCATGGGGCTTACTCGTGCGTCTATGATTGATTGGCTACGGGTTGGCGAGGTACCGCTACGGCTTGCTCTTGGCTGAGCTCCATCAGGTGCCTGGGGCTTCAGTTCGGACAACGGCCGATTGAGTTCTGTGCTACGAAGTCCCTCCTCTGCCAGCAGGCTGAGCTGGACTTGTTCTGCGGGCAGCGGCACGGTTCCCTGGGGCAGCGGGGAGTGGGGGGGGGGGGGGGCGGATGGAGGCGCTCGGAACTGGAATACTGTCACTTCCTCTGCATTCTGTTGGCCAAGGCAAGTCAGGAGGCCAGCCCAGGGGTTCGGAAATAGACTCCACCTCTTGATGGAGAACCCGCAGTCTTATTATAGGGGGACCAGATAGAGAGAGGGGAAGAATTGGGACCATTTTAATAATCAGGCTGTCACAGATCTGGGGCAAGTTATCTGACTTCTTTGAGTAACCGCTGCCTTGCCTGGAATCCACAGGTGGTTGTACAGCCCAAGGAGAGAATGAAGTGAACACACTTTTAAACTCAAATTCACTGTAACCGTTCAAGTGAAATTAACTAAGGCGTGGTGCAGGAGATAGAACCAAAGAATCTTCAGCATTCCTCTGTGGATGCTGGCGGTCTAAGCTAGTGCTGGGAGAGTCCTGTTTTAAAAATCAGAAAACACCAAATGGTTCTGGGATTCGGAGCTGGCCGTCAGACCAGGCCACTCCCAGTCACTGCAACCCAAGGCCAAGGACAAAGGCCAGATTCCCAATGCCGCTGCCCCACTAGAGGTCACAGCAAACTTTAAGACCATCCCATCACTTCTCCCACGGAGTAAACTGGTCTTGTCCCTGTATTTTGAAAAAGGTATTGTCTTTATACCAAATCGTATCACCAGGTAGCTAGGTCTTTGAGATATCCTCTTAGTAGTTAAGATCTTTCCATCTCCATCATTCTCTCAATTCCGAGCATACTTTCATAATATCCCTGCTGACAGTAGTTGGAGGTCAGCACATGTGTTTTCTAAGTAAGTTTTCCTCACTGTAAATGCCAAGTGGACACTGGTGCTGAACAGCCTATAACTAAATGCTTTCCCGATCCTGGCCAACAGGAACTGTCGCTCAGAAAGCCACGTTCACTCACACTGAGATGTCCAGGAGGCACACTTAGTCTCTATCTCTTCACGTTTCTGAGCCTTCTCCATCCATGACAGCCCCCTCCCCATACCCTCGGCTCCCTGTCAGTAACTCTGGGCTGCAGTGTGGTTTTTCATGGCATAAGGAGAAGAGGTTTCCGGGGTGACCAGGACGCAGACCTTCCAGTAATCAAATCCACAGGCAAGGCAGACATCAAGCAGCCTTTTGCTCATAGCCCTCTGCCGAACGCCATTCCAAACATCAAGTAACCCTGAATTGGATACCTTAAATTATATCACTAATTAACAAGAAGAGGTTAGTGTTTTGTTTTCACCTCAGATGGTGCTTGAGAGCTCCAAGCAAATTAGCCCCAGCTGCTGGGATTTCGCCAGACTGCATAGCCTGGTTATAGGCGAGACACCGCAGTGTGAGGGACGGGGGCTCCGAGTGGCTGGCGGGAGAGCCTCAGAACAGCCATGCCTCCCCGGCATGGGAAGGGGCCAGGAACAGGCGTTATCGTTCCTGGACCCAGTGGCACAGAGGCCCTCAGCACTGGCCGCTGCTTGGGAGCTCTGGTCGAGTTTCCCCAAGACCGCCTTCATCTTAAACCCTCTTAAAGGCTAAAGGCAAACAAATCCTTCTTGAAACCTGAGTCCGTTTTAAGATGTCTGTACTAAAATCCCCGCTGAACTATTAGCTGTAATATCATATAATTTCCTTTTCCTGAGAGTAACACTCTTGGTGATTACCGCTATAAGGAATTATAAGGCTCACCCTGTAAGAAGCTCTGCTCAGTTTCCCACGGTGATAATGTGTTACTAAGGCGATTTTCTGAATTTCTACCTGAGGTGTTTTTTCATTTCACTCCGACTACTAAATCCTTCCCTTTTCTTTTTTCTTGTCCTTTCCTGAGTTAGAAACACTGCATGGGGTAGTTGATTTAGGTCTGAGTTGATCCTTAGCACAAAGGTCAATTTGGGGGCAGAACAACAGAATTTACGATCAGACTTTCTTCATAATGAAAATATATATCTTTGGATGTTTTAAACCTTATTTTGCAGTGGTATCATGTGTTATTTTATATTTTTATAATCTGTGTATATAGTGTCTTCTTTTCAAGACTTTAGTTATTCAATAAATAGGAAATACTACATAATCCTTGATTCGAATTAGGTTTAATTTAAAATGTCTTTTTTATTTTAAAATATGACTTTAAAATGTCTGTTTTTAATTTGCACTTTTTTAATTTCCACTGTTGTCCAATCCATGTATCTTGAGTTTTATCGTTAAAAATGGGTTGATTTGGGTTTTTTTTTTACCAACTACAGACAATAAATTTTAAAATAATTTATCAAAGGTTAACCTGAACATATTATATTTCTCCAGGAAAAAAAACATATATATTCTAATGATAGAAAGTTAAAAGGAGACAAATTCCAGCTCAATAAATATTCAAGCTGCCTAACAGTGAAAGTCAGCTCGGGACCCCCCAGTGAGTCAGTTGTGCATCAGGAATTGCTGTGACCAGGCCAGGTATTCAAGTAGGTGACTGCAGGGGTCCCTTTACAAAGTCACATCACCTTTAAAATTCTGTGGGTGTTTTTGTCTAGGCTTTCAGGAAGTAGAGAAAGGAGGATAATGAACAGGTACAGAGCACCTGCCCTGTGCCCATCTCTGAGGTCTTTTCATCCTTTCTACAAACCACTGAATTATTCACCCTATTTTACAGATGAGGAAACTGAGGTTCATAAAGTAATGTGCCTTGGGAAAGAAGTAAGGATTCAAACCTAAGTCCTACTGATTCCAAGCACCCTGAGCTGATCACAGCAGAACCTGTCGCTTTCTGCGGCCAGCCCTAGGCCTGGGTCTGCTTGCCTGCACCGGGGGGTAGTGGGGGAATGGAACTGGACCTACAGAGGGAAAGGCTGCGTTTCTCTCCTGGGGAAAATAAGCTGGGACTTTCAGTAATTAGAGAAGTTAACAATAGGTGGCGGTACATACCCATAACAATTATGGTGCCTGTGTTAACAATCAGTACATTTTCTTTTTCTGAGCTCTGTATTGTTTTCAATCAAAGTGCTTTAAATGAGGCATTTGAGCAATTTATGCAGAGCATCCCTCCCCATTTGAATAATAATAAAAAAAAGCAAATGGGAATGTCAGCTATCAGACGAGTTGCTCTTTGCATTTCTCACTGTGACAATAATGACGCCAGAGCAGATTTGGTGTCCCCTGTCCTAAACCTGGCTTGCAGGAGCCTCCTTATGACCCCTTGCTGCTTAGCAGTTTCCTTCTGCCTTTTCTTTCTCTAAACCTACAGACTGGGGCTACTAGGGATGCTAAGAAAGTGCTTCTTGAAAAACACTTTGTTGTCAAACAACAATGAAATGTGTTCGACTTCGGATGAAGGTTAGGACACAGAGTTGGATCCACAGCCTGGTTGCGTGTATAGCAGATACACAGCCGGCTGGCCCTTTGTGACCACATTTCCGGCAACATCCCTCTGGAGCTTCCCAGATTCGCCACAAACATAATGAGCTCCCAAGACATCTCTGCCTCTGAGGCTCTGCGCGCAAGGCAGTCTGTAGAGCCTTGCGTTCCAACATTCTGCTTTTCTGACTAAGCTGGACGCTTCCTTAAGTCTCTCGAGGGTGAACCTCTGGTGTGTTTTTTTCTTAATGACATAAATGGGCTCCCTTGGTTGGCTTTTGACAACCGCCTCAAATAAAATTTTCCTTCAGACGACCTTATTTGGGAATAAAAAGGAGTCTTTCTTCGGAGAGCTCTGGCCCCGGGATGCTGTATCTAATGAGCATCATTGGATTGTCCCCGTGGGGCAGGACACTAGATGACACCAAGCAGCCTTATTTGGCTGAGGACCCATTCCTCTTCATCGACAAAAAATGTAAACTCAGTGTCTCAACGCGTTTCTGTTGTGTACCAGCTACGTGTTTGATGTTGTGCTGGGTGCTGTCATGTGGCCTGAAATTACTTTCCTCCCAGCGTGAATTTGTGTGTGGAAGAAAAAACGAATACAGTATGAGTTAAAAGTTACCATTTATCAGCTTATCGAGTTATCTTTCTTATCTTCTAGTAAAAGTTATCATTTATGAGTTGGGAATAATATTTGCTCACTCACTGCTCCCTGTGAAGAACACATTAAACTACTTTCTTTAGCAAAATCAGGCAGTTCTTTCAGTTGCTACCAGATAACAAATAGCTGAATGGAATTAGTGTCCTGTTTCCTTCTGCCCAGCCTGCAGAGTGGGATGAACCTGCAGATATGCTTTGTCAACGACAGCGGCAGCGATAAGGACAGCGATGCCGATGACAGCAAGACCGAAACGAGCTTGGACACCCCCTTGTCTCCCATGGTGAGTCCCAAAGCTGCCACTGAGGCTCAGAGTGTGCTTTCCTGGTCGTTTAGCTTCTTTTCTGTTGTTAGTCAGAAACAAACATGTCAGAGATTAAAAAAGCGGTGTCTCATGACATTTCTTGACATGGCATGCTCCTAAAATTTGACAGTGATTGAAAAAGCAAAACTGTGATCCAAGAAGGATACATAAGCTCTGTTAAAGTTAGCGACGACTTTCATACTAAATCATAAGAGAAATCACATAGGCCCTAAAAATTATAAAAGAAAATACACTATCTACCAATCCTTCCCCACTGGGCTTAGAAATATGAGCACAGACTAACGATGGGACACATTTTAAAAGGCAGGGGATGGGGTCCAGGCAGGGGTGGGAATGGTAGCACATAGCTGTTGCTCAGAGAAGCCAGCAAGGTAATGTGGGTTAAACATTGGTTACTCTTCCTTGCACACGTATTACAAAAGATGGCTTGATGATCCTGGGTGCTAGTTGCTGGATTTCTTTCCTCTCTGGGAGGTCTATCGCCTTTCTTACCAAAGACTAACTAATAGGAAACCGTGTTGGTTTTTGAGTGCAGTGCCGCGTCAGAACTTCGTAGGATATCTGAGATCCTGTCCGCTCCAGGGAGCAACGCACCGCCTTAGCTCTGGGTTAAATATTTTGCTGTGTTTGTTCACTTCAAGAAAGGTTTGAGAGCAAGAATCAAAGAAATGTCTCAAGTTTGTTGCAAATATATATTCTCCCTGTTATTAATTATGTTACTTTTTATGCTAAAATCAGAGTCTATCACTGACTGAGGAAATAAAGTAGCTTTTAAAATGTTACTTGCAATGGGTACAAATCAAATCAAGAGTTGAGTCCCCTGATGGAGGGGACTCTTGGCTGCTTTGAGAGAGGGCTCAGGGAAGACTGTAGCTCATCTCCAAAGACGGTACCCGGCACGCAAAGCTCAGGGCTGCTCTTTTTCCCTTCACAGAGCAAACAGAGTTCTTCCTATTCCGATAGAGACACTACTGAAGAGGAATCCGAATCCCTGGATGACATGGATTTCCTCACAAGGCAAAAGAAATTGCAAGCCGAAGCCAAAATGGCCCTTGCCATGGCCAAACCAATGGCCAAAATGCAAGTAGAAGTGGAAAAACAGAACAGGAAGAAGTCTCCCGTCGCTGATCTTGTAAGCAGCGAACGCTGAAATGCAAACGAGTGTTTGGTGGCTGCAAATGGTTGAGGCTGTCCCAGTCCTTTCCCAGAGTTATGCAAACTTGGGTTTTTACAAGGCAGTGTGTAAAACGTACTGTCATAAGTCTGTTTCTTTTTCCTTCCTACTGTATCACTGAAGGATACACACGCAACAGATTTCACTCACAAAAGTGAACTTTGCTCTTGATTCATATCTACTGTGTTTCTTAGGGGCAGTATTAGCTGTCATGGGAATATTTTAATTCCTTTAAAGCAGTCTCAGTTTAAGAACCCATTGCTATGGCAAACTCACTATTGCTTTAGCTCATGTTCCCCCCCTTTTCAATGAAGACAGTGTGGCAGAGTGGATGAGAGCCCTGGGCTTTGGAGCTTAAGACTAGCTCTGCCGTTGACCTACTGTGGGGCTCTGGACACGTCTCAGTTTTCTCATCTATAAAATGGGTATAATAATAATAGCTGTGTCAGAGCACAATTGTGGAAAAAGTAGTCAAAGCACTTAGCACAGTGCTTGTAGCATGCTATAAGTTAATAAGTAGCTGATATTATTAATTTTTTCCATGTCATTGACATTACTTGAGCTCCCTGGTAATTCATTTGTGGATGTAATAATTGACTCTCAGCTGTAGACCAGTCCAAAAGCTTTTGATTTGAGTAGTGTCCCATTCTGATGCCAATAGCATTTCAGATGATGTGCATATATGGAGGGCCTCACATTGGGAAAGTCAGATGGGGAGAGCTTTTAAGCAAGGAACCTGAAGTGGGTGAATGAAGGTGGGTCTTTTAGGAGAAAACTGGGTCGTACGTTCAGTGTGCTTGCAGCTCACCCCTCCATTTCTTCCCTTTCTGTCTTCAGCTGCCACACATGCCTCATATAAGTGAATGCTTGATGAAAAGAAGTTTAAAGCCCACTGACCTGAGAGACATGACTATTGGGCAGCTACAAGTGATAGTCAATGATCTCCATTCCCAGATAGAAAGTAAGTGTAAGATGCTCTGGAAAATGGGATATTAAGTGTAAAATATCATGGGATGGATAGTACTATTTCCTGGGTTCAGCTCCTTGGTACGTTTCATTGGGGTCCTCCTGTGTACTTGCAAGGAAAAGAAGAGAATCACAACGCTCTCTTTTTTTGCTTTTTTTAACTGTAAAATGTTGAGAAACTTTAAGACTTTTTCAAGGTCCACAGAGGTTAGGGATCCCTTTTATTCATCTGAAATCCCCAGCTCCCAGCACAGTGCCTGGCATATAGTTGGCTCCCAACGCCTGTTTGTAGAATGTAATTTAGTAGTTACAAGTCATTCATTATACAGTTATACGCTCAGCTTTACTTGCACGTACATTCATTTTAGGTCATCAAATTCTATTCGACTTATGCTGTGGGACTCCAGGTGGTGAAAGTATATGTGACCAATATGTGAAAATTATAGGGTGAGAAAGCGTGGGCCTTTTCCCCCCAGAATGAAGAAGGGCCTCCACAGGAAGTGTGCAGGGCGGGTGGTGAGTGAGCGGCATTCACTCAAAGTGATTGGTTACGCAGGGAAGGGCAGGTGCTGGACCAATGAGAGAGCTCACTCACTGGGAAAGCATGCTTAGCCCAGGTGAACTCACGAGCCCTCCAGCCTCTGGAACATACAAGTCCATAAAGTCCGTAGGCTGATAGATTAAAACCACCTAAGAGACATGCCAACCAAATGCAAACCAACTAGATGTATTTACTTATTCAGGTACAATAAAGGTATTGTGGTTATGTTCAATTTTTTTAAAAAAGAGACCTGTCTTCAGAGACACATACTGAAGCATTTACTGATGAAATAATATGATGTCTGAAATTCTCTTTCAAATGACCTAGTGGGAGAAGGGGAGATAGATGAGTTCAAGACTGGCCATGAGTTGATAACTGTTGAAGCTGGCTGGATGCATGGGGCAGGGGGATTCCTTAAACAATTCTCTTTGCTTTTGTATCTCTTTGAAAATGTCCATAATAAAAAATTTAAAACTTCATACAGAAAAGACATTCCCATGCACTATGCAGGCACCCTACTGAGTACTAGTATAAAAAGCTACCCTAAGAACCCACTAGAAAAAATAAAATTGGATGTATTCAGTGACAAGTTAATACCTTCAGCATTTTAAAATCAAGAGAAAGGATTTAACATTTTAATTAGGAAACCATAGATTCACAGGCTTTTAAAAAATTCTACTACATTTTAATTTTAGTTGAGCGTAAATTACTAGGAATTAAGGACTTAAAAGGCTTTCTGATCTTTTACCACTGAAACATCCTTCTTAGACTTTTAAATAATAACATTGCCAGCTAGTCCTTTTCAGGAGTAGATGGAGTTTTAGACCTCTTTGTATGACTTTTTTTGGTCCTCTTTTAAATTGAAAACTAATCTGAACTAAAGGCAGACAAATGCATCATTTGAGGTCAGGATCTCTGAAAACATTTCCAAGGAGGACCTCGCTGAATACCCCCTTCCTTTCTTTGATTTCTGGGCCCAGAGCTCTTGCTAAATGAATGCTATCCCTTATGTGTCCACATGTCCAGACCTAGAAGCTTTCACTCTTAGCTGATGTGAGGGGGGGAAAAAGCAAGAGAGAGCCCCCTGCTTGTTTATATTTTTCAATGGCAGAAGCCAAATTAAACCCAGTACACTGATTTCAGGAAGACTAGTTATGTTTCCATCTATTTTATGCCCAGTAGAAATCCTAAAGAATACGTTCCTCAGCACCCATTGTCCAGAGAACTCAGGGGTTGTTTCTTCAGGTCTTACACATCTGGTTCTCCCACAGCTTTAGATATTACTGTTTCCTAGAACAACCTGCACGTAGGCTCCTCGCCTCGACCCCGAGGAGCCTTTGAGCATCCTCAAGGCGCCTTCCTCCCCAGCGGGGGGTCTGATGGGGCTCTTGTCGGGTGCAGTGGCCCCCCAGCTCTCCGTGTGGCAGGAGCACCCTGAAGATGAACGGTGGAAAACTGAACGTGCCCCAGACTTCCACGTTCACATTTCTTGAAAACAAAATCCCGCTTCTTCTAACAAGCTGTTTTCCTAACAGCTAACAATTTCTTTTCCCACTCTAATGTGAATGTAATTGGATATACTTTGTACTCCTTTTCTGTCAACACTTCTATAAGTATGCAAGCTAGTCGTGCTCTCAGATTGGTGACCTCTCCTGGGCTTATGAGAAGCTAATGTAAGAACTCTACATTTTAGCAAAAATAGTCTCCTGCTATGTTTAGCTGTTTGTATATATGTATGTATCTATCGTACGTACATAATGGTGCATAAGTGGTTTCACATCCTGACTTAGATGCAATTTTATCTGTTTCTAAATGCTTTCGTTTCTTTGCCCCAGGCTTGAATGAAGAGTTGGTCCAGCTGCTCCTCATACGAGATGAGCTGCACACAGAGCAAGACGCCATGCTGGTGGACATCGAGGACCTGACCAGGTCAGTGGTGCCTCATCTTTGCAAAGAAGGAAGGAAGCCTGGGATGGTTGGAAGTCTAAGAATTAAGGCAAGAGCGAGCTCTAGAGAACTTCTTTCCTTACTTCCGTCAGTAACTCGCCTAATCTCTGCTGGTGTCAGCTGTTTAGATGGAGGGGAAGTGGCCAAAACTGCTCCCATCCAAATGCATGGCTTCTTCACAACCATCCTCCCCTAGTGATGGATTGTAAGTGCATTAGAACTTCATCCACCCCCACTTAAATCAGGTCAGCAATTCTGGCCTAAGGACATTATCCTGAAGGACTGTCCCCTTGAGAGTCATCCCTAAGCCATTCCATGCTGGCACGATTCCAGCACGTGGTGGGTGCCACCAAGTGGCACTTGCTGTTATATGACCTGACTCTTGATCGCATCTGCCATGCCCGGAAGGCAAGGACACTGGCATCTTTCCACAGCACCAGCGCCACCAGATTGCTCTCACCATGGGGAGACTCCAAGACTTGAGTTTCTAGCTGGGCCTGGTTCCGAGCGCCTGTCTGTAAAGAGGTAAAGAATGCTTCCTTCCCTGGGGCATAGGGAAACTAGGCTAATGCTGGTCAAGATCTTGCATTTCTTCATAGTTTTCCTTGTGGAAAAGCCTCTCACCATAAATATATAAAGTATATGAAATACCGTGAGCATTCCTATGATCCTATACTGTATTTACGATGCCGCCTTTTCCGAGACAGTTTATAGGAAGTCTTTAAAGCACAAGGCAACAGTTATTATTAATCCCAGAAATGGTATTCAGAGAGTAGAAGCTCCCAAGGAGAGAAAGAAAACTGCTTGTCACGGTAACGTGAGGAATTAACCACATGATCCAGAGCCATCCAGGAGAAGTTTGAAAACATATGTAGTGAAAATGCTCTCAGCACTCATCACAGGGGCCACTTCTCAATGTGTAACGCTGGGTGAAATATTTTTCTAAATGCAGTGTTATAAAAATAGCTTGGGTAGCAAAATAAATGCTGCAGAACTATGTTTAAGTTCGTTTTTAAAGACCTATGGGCAGCACTCTGTTTTGTACGCTTTGGATGTTATATTGCCTCACCCCTAACAAAAAAAAACGAAAACAAAAAAACCCAGAAGGTCTTCTCATACCTTCTTAGCATATTTGCCTGCATGTGAAATATAGTAACACTCAAATACTATTATTGCCCCCTACAGCTGTATCCGGGCACTGCACCGACAATTGTAAGACACCTGCCTTTTTGTTACGCTAACAACTTTGCATATAGGGATTAAGATTATGGGAAATCAGTAGTGAAATATACAACCAGGACATGCATCTTCTGAAAAATATATAGACTCTTTCGTCAATTCTGTGGCTTGCCTATGATAACAGAGACCGTTTCTCTGCCCCTCAGAGCAGCGTTGGCACCCCTCGTTGCTAAGACGACATTCAGAGGCTCCTCCCTTCTCTCAGAATGTTAGGCTATTACTTAGGTTTGCAGTGAATTTTGCTTATCCCTTCAGATGGTGTGATCATGGGAGACAGGGTGGGCAGAACCATGGGGTTCAAAGGAGAGGAGTCACTAATTTAAAGGTACTGGAGGAACCCTTTAAATTAGAGCAGGTGGGGAGAAGTTTCTATGCCCATTCCTGGCTGCAGAAATATAATTTTGCTCATGGAGGGATCTAAGGATACTTAAACTTCCTTAAAGGTAGCAGTGCCAGAGTTTTGCAGCCAGATCCCAGAAGGCCAAGCGCTTGGCCGCTGGGAAGCCCTGTTCACCTATTCCCTTTACCGGTGCAGCTCCTACCATTCAGGTGCCAGTTCAGATCAGTGGTTCTCAATTTTGGCTGCACATTGGAACCATCTGGGGAGCTTTTAAAATACTGATGTCTGGGTCTCACTCCCAGAGGTTCTGATTTAATTATTCTGTGAAGTAACCTGTGCATGAGGAGTTTTTAAATCTTTCCAGATGATTCCAATGCACAGCCTAATTTGAAAACCCTGGGTTTAGATACCTCTTTGGAGAAGTGCTCCCTGATCCCCCAAGACTGATGTAGGGCCCTCTGTGCTCCTGGCAGCATGGCATCCCTCCCAAGTAGAGGCTAATCCTATTGTGTTATATGGTTTACAACCAACCTGGCTATAAGCCCCCTGAAAGCAGAGACAACACTATTTTCATTCATTGCTGTGTCCTCAGAACCTAATACAGGGCCTGCCAAGTACGTAGTAGGTCCTCAATAGGGATTGTTGATAAAAAGAAGTCCTTGTGGGGTTTGAGTGAAATAAATCCTAGTAAAGACTTTATAAATAGTTGACGAGAACCTTTTGGTTTTATGGACGGAAACCCTTTCCCTCCTTTGTTTACAATTTTAATGAAATTCACCCTTGTATGTATGTCTCAAAATAACACCCAGCTTTCAATATTTTCTGAAGCTCTTGCCTGCCTGTTCTTTCCTTCTGTCTCAGAAAACCCCTTGTTGTTTGTATGCACTCACACACACGCACACACACACACACACACACACACACACACACAGATACATATTTTAAAACTGCTATAAGAACTACACTTTAATTATCTACCACGGAATCTTAGTCACTGGGCATCAAAATATTTCTTGAGCTGAATTTGTCCAAGTGAGGCCCATGAGCTACTTTATGAAAATGTTAAAAAAAAAAAGATGGTCTGCTAGAAGGCATAATTTCTTTTTTAGGAATAGGGTGCTATTGATGTCTTTTTCCTGAGTCCCTTTGTTGGTAAATGAATATCAGAATATTCTTTGTGGGCTGCTGCATGTGGCAGGGACGCTGCTGTCACTTCTCTGTTTCTGAATGTATTTGCCCTGTAACACAGATGGGAGACATTCTGCATAATACCAGTGAGTTTAAACTTGATGTCACTGACTACCCAAGGCTAGGCAACACCCAGAAACTGCCCCTGGACCTTTGATGACAGCTGAAAACCACACCCTTAGATGCTTTTCTCTTGCCAGATTTATAATTTCCTAAGATCCTCCTTCAAAACATTTGTTTCTTGCAGCCTTCAGACCCTGCCACTCCCTGGGAAGACGTTTACCTAGTGCCCGATCGAGTGACGTAAGCAGCTTAGCCATTCCTCCCACTTCGCCTCCACTGGCCAGCTGCTGGTTAGCCCAACCTTGGGCTCACAGGCCGTAATAGGGCTTGATGAGTAAGACTCACCCCACCCTGTCGCCCCCTCACTGCCGTGATCATGCCCTTGGGACTGAGGGGGGAAAAATATGCAAATGTGGGAAATCTTGACAACCACAAAGGCCTACCGTTTGTTTGGAAGACATTAGCCTTTGTAAGAATAAAATTGAACTATTGTATTATTAACAAGAGCCTTGTTAATACTTAGATTTGCATCTATGTGCGTGTTTGGATAAAGTAGTCATGCAGTTACTTTCTATCACAACACCTTGTTTTGACTTTTTGCTTAGCACTTAATCTTCTATCTGCTATCTCCTTGCTTGCCGTCTGTTCCTTTCTTGTCTCTTTCCATTACAATATATACTCCATGAGAACAAAGATCATTGTCTGCTCACCACCGAATCCCCAGCACCAGGAGCACAGAGAAGGCACATATTAAACATCTGTTGAATAAATTATCCTAGTTACTTTTCTCTTTTCATTTTTAAACACGGCACTTTTCTTCTCAAAGGAATGTGACATCTACATGTCTCAGGTTAATCCAGTGGCTTACTAAATAAAAGGAATCGTACATAGAATATAAAACTTGGAAGAGGGCAAATCCATTTGAATGAGGTACCATTTCTCGAGTCTCTTGATTTCACTATGAGTAACTCCGAGCCTCCGTTTGGAGGATGTCTTAGCTGTTGATGGGAAAGCAGTTTGGCTTTCTCCTTAGCACTAAATAATTGTATTATTCATTTTACAGACACGCTGAGAGTCAGCAGAAGCACATGGCCGAGAAAATGCCTGCAAAGTGAAAAGAAGCCATCCAACCAGAGGACAAGCTAGAATTTATTTTGCTTCTGTGGTTGTAAAAATGCTGTTGCTAAAGGTGGCATAGAAACAAACAAATATCAGTGTTAGTCATCGATAATGTCTGAAGCTTAACGTCCAGTGACTGGCCTTTGCTTCTTAATTTATTTTAATGTTTTTACTGTGCCACTAAATATCAGGCATTTTAATAAAATATTGTTACAAAAAATGTACAGTACTTACACCATCCCAAATCATGGTTAATCAAAGAGGGTAGTTTTAACTTTATTTTTATTTGTTTAGAGATTCTGAGTTGGAGCAGTATTTTACCATTTGACTGCTTTCATTCTTCACTGTAGTTTTAAAGAAGAACTGTAAATGACGGTGCTATCCAAGTCAAAAAATACATGCCTGCCTCGTAGTGAAGTTGTAGGTCTCTGTAATATGTATATTTTAATCAGTTTTCAACATTTTGTGAATGTTGACTACCTGAAGTTCATTTTTAGATGTGCTATTAACATTCTGTTGGATTCAGAGGGTTCCTTAAAAGTTTTATGTATAAATATGTAAAATAAAAATTAAAACTTTGTTTCATAGGATATGTCTTTTTGCTCACTAGCAAGCCCTACACTGGCTGTACTTCTTCCGTCTTCACTCTTCCTCAACTGAAATCCCCACCGGGAAGCTTTTATCAGTGAAGAAACAAAGGGCTCCGGAGAACAAGAAATGCAGGGAATCGCCAAGAAGATCGTGGAGAGTATGGGAGAGTTTGTGTGTGTGTGTGTGTGTGTGTGTGTGTGTGTGTGTGTGTGTCTGTGTGTGATCCAAAGATGACAACATCAGGCACATCAGAGCCAGCACTGTTACTGCTGAAAGTTATCAGTCTGGAATTTCAATACTTTATTATTTAATAGCTGCTGGTTTTGTCAGAGCCAATGACTGCATCCAAACTGCGTTTCCCAAATTTGCCACGTGAACAGACGATGCCTGCATTTACACTTTTCCCAAGGCCAGTTGGTGCCATTTTTCACATTTTAACCACCTCTATTGGTCTCATGAAGAAAAATGCCAAGTCTAAAGCAGGTTACAGACTGTTCCTCAATAGGTAGAGAGTTTCAGAAAATCGATGTAATTAGCGAATGTCCACGCAGGTATTAGAGAACCTTAAACTAAAGCTGAGATGAGCAATCAACATTCCAGAGCCACCCACAGACCACCTGGTTTCACTATAAGGTCCATGATGTAATCTGAAGATAGAAGGTTAGTCAGTTTCCTTTTTTAAAAATACCCAGATAGATATTTTAAGTAATTCAGAGTTGCCAATTTTCATAGCCTTCTTCTTTTAGTAAAATAGTCCATCTTACATTGAAACACTCATCATTTCTTTATGGGCTTCAATCAAGTTATTTTCATTTGGAATAGAAAAATAATGCAGCCCATAAATGTATTTTGGTTTTCGACAGTTGGCTATGGAACAGGACAGGTTGCTCGCCACTGGGCTGAAGGGTGGAGCCCGAAGTCCTCTTTGCACCAAGGTCTCTAACTGAACCCCGAAGTCCTGCACCAGCTGTCAGTGCTCCCCTGGGGTGACTCCAGCCCTGAAAATCTAGGCACAGCTAGTGGAGCTTTGTTGCTTCAGCTGGGTGAGAATATTGGTCACTAAGCCAGCGGTTCTCATCTTCAGCGACACAGTGGAATCACTTGGGGAACTTTAGAAACCACGGGGGCCTGGGTCCCACCCCCATAGACACTGATTTAATTGGTCCAGGATTTTTTAAAGGTCCCTTGGTGACACTAATATAAAGAACCACTACCTTGGACTTCCTTCTTTCTTAGCTTTTCTTAAATCATTTTTTAGTATCTTTTTTTTTTCTAATTGAAATATATTCCCATTAATTTGGAACTTTGGGGGAAAGCCAACCTAGGAAGAATGCCACGAAAATGCCTGAGCCCGAGTGAGAGTGGTAACGTGACCGAAACCTCCTACAGCGACATCTGTAACCTGAAATCCTGACGCTAAAACTCAGCCCACCAAGAAAGACGATCTTCATTCTTTAAATCCTTGCCAGAACTGCCAACTCCAATAAGAATTTAGAAATGAGTTTTCTCTTTGTCTTAAGCAATGCTGCCTCTCTGGCTTGAAGTATGTTCTGAAGAAATCCATGGCCTCGAAATGCTTCAGTTGTCTGAAACCCATAATTATAAGTGAAGAGCCCTAACTCGAGAAGGAAGGAAGTGAGATTACACCCACAAGGGCCCCTCAAAACACTTCCGGGGGCAAAGCCAGCTGAAAGAAGAGCAGTTCTTCCCACCACCCCAAGACCATCAAAGGAGATTATACCAGTGTACCCATGTTCCTTTCACACTTCCCTGCCTCTGGTAGAGATGTCACCAAGTGACTCACCTCCGAGGGGATTCTTTCAAAATCGGGTCTTTCCAGCCCCTTTGATTAGCTTTTTCAGCAAGGACTGGGATTATTCCCAACAGGATTCTTATCTGCTGTAGATCACCCTTCCATACATTAATTAGCACCCTCACTAGTTTACCTGGCTGAGTTAGATGCTAGAATTCCTGAGTTAAAAAATAGGGCCGCCTATCCTCCCAATTTTAAGAGAGAGGTGTAAGCAAGAATGCACAGGCTCTAGAGCCAGAAGGGACTGGGCACAATGCTGACTCCACCATCTTCCTAGTGATTTGACCTTAAGCAAGTTACTAAAGCTCTACGTTATTTTACCTTCTGCAGATAAGATCTCTTGGGATTATTCTAAAGATTGAATAAAACAGTGTCTGTGAAAGCACTGGCACCCAGTAGATACCCAATAATTGTTGACAGGAGAAGTAAATGATCACAGTTTGGGTAGAGGAGGCATTCTGTATTTTACCAGTTTCTGAGGTTTAACACATCCTTGTAGGCTTTTTCTTGTTTATTAATCATTAACTTACAAAACAGATGCTTAAGGGAAAAGTTCACTTCAACCTTCAGGCCCCCCTCCCTCCTCCAAATACTGATGTTAAAACTTAGAGTGTATTCTCACACACCTTTCTCCACACTTATACAAACAGATACACACATACAGGTTTTGTGTTTCAATTTGTTTATGCAAAGGTGGGAGCACATAAAACTCAGTGCTTTGCAACCTGCTTTATCCGTGGACACCCTTCCAGGTCAGTACATACAGACCTAAGCCGTTCTTTTTAACAGCTGTATAGTAATGCCCAGTATGCTGGAACATACTTTTATTAGTCATTCCCTTTACTGATGGACATGAAGGATCTTCCCAGATCTCTGCCACTAAAAACAGCGATGCAATAAACATGCTTGTACTTACATCTCCATGGGCTTTAATTCTGTGATGACCTCATTTTTTTCTTTAAACATTACTTGGTATTTGTTTAGATACTTCAAACTACAGAGAGCTAATTAAGGTAGGGAAGACCAAGTGAGTCTACTGAAGAGAAGTTTAGTTTCTTAAAAGAAAATTAGACCAACTCCCCTTATCTGACTAACACCAACTCATTTCTAGAGCATAGCTGTTACTTCCTTGATGCAACTGTTTCTTTCTCTCTATTACACACACACACACACACACACACACACACACGCACGTGCAACTTGGCCTCCAAGGATTGTCATCTGCTTCCTGAATACAGATTTTTCTCTATTTCCTGTTTGAGGGTAGAGGCAAACCTCAACCATCTTTGTAATGATAGCCCTCAGCACAGAACGCAGAGTTTTCTCTCGAAGAGAAACCCTGATCATTGGGACCCACCCTTTTTCTTTGTGGTACGCGGGCCTCTCACTGTTGTGGCCTCTCCCGCTGCGGAGCACAGGCTCCGGACGCGCAGGCTCAGCGGCCATGGCTCACGGGCCCAGCAACTCCGTGGCATGTGGGATCTTCCCGGACCGGGGCACGAACCCATGCCCCCCGCATCGGCAGGAGGACTCTCAACCACTGTGCCACCAGGGAAGCCTGGGACCCACCCTTTTGACAGTTCCACTAGCTGGTGGACCCTACTCTTCCTGATGCCTGACACCTCTTCTCTCAGCTGCCGGAGGAGCCCCTCAGCCTGATTTTCACTCAGGTTTAATCTCATCGTTTTCAAGCTTGAAACCCCATGACTGGCTGACGCTTCTTAAGTCCCTCCCCTCTCAAAATTTTTGATCTATGATCCTGGAGACTTTCCTTCCACAGAATGTCATCTCTGCTGTCTCTGACAGACAGCCCTATGGCGGCTATAGCTAGCCATCTACTGAAATTCATCCCTCTCCACCATGTTCTTAGTTACATAGTTGTCCCTGGGAAGTGGCTAAACAAACAGGGACTACATTTCCCACCCACCATCCATTTGCATTTAGATGTGACCCATGACCGATTTTCACCAACAGAGTGAGTGTGATGTGTCTTAATTCTAGCCAAGGCTTTGAAGAAGGGGTTTGCCTTCTCCATGGTTTCTTTTTCTCCTTGCACCAGCTGCTATCACAAGGACCTAGCGGAAGGCAGAGCCAAAATATGGAAGGAGTTTGGGTCCCTGAGTCAACTGCACAAAGAGAGCTGCCTGCTGTCCAGTAGGGTTTGCCCCATACGGTTGCAGAAGTGAGAAAAACTCTGATTATGTTTGAGCCATTATACTGCATTGAATCTCTTTGTTACCATAGCTAGCATTACCATAACTAATGCAAGTCCTTAACAAGGGCAGCCATAGTCCTTTAAGAAAGAGCTGGAACACAAACCCAGGTCTCTGAAGACAAACCCTGTGTTCTTAACCACCAACCCACACTGCTAGAGGCTGTGCCTCTTCCCTCTAGAAAATCTTCTTTAGGTCAGTGACTCACCCTTTTTCACTTCATGGACCTCTTCAGTTTAGTTTAAATCCTAATCCCCAGTCTATATCTTCCTTTAGCCACTGGGGCAGAAACTGGATAAGGTCAAAATAAGATTTGTCATGAGCAAACAATCAATTCATTCCAGAAACAAGAACTTGGATTTTACTATAATGTCAGAAACACAAATATTTATCAAGTGACTACAGGAGACCACTTTGGTGTCCAACTGGAAGAGCCTTGGGTATCTGCAATCCTCAGCACCAGGCTTTGACTATTACCACCCCAGCTGAATTCTGATGCTTAGAAATGCAATTACCTTTTGCACTGACGTTCATTTATTTTTTCTAAATAGGATATGACACATTCTTATGAAGTAGGTTGACGGGTAATGAGTTTTTCAGGATATTTTAATTGAGGCTTATAGTCAGTTGTTGGTATAAATTAGTATTATATTAAATAATTTATGAATTATGGTCTAGCTGTGCAGAATGAAAAGAACATCTCACTCCTAATTTCTGAGAGTCCAAAAGGTCTTTCATTTAGTAGCCTTGGTAGGAAATGATTTACCAGGACTAATTAATTGGCCATAAGAAATGCTTTGCCTGAGCATCCTTCTCTCCGTCCATCCCCCTATTCTACAACAAGGCTCTGCCTATGTTTGTAACACGGCCCTTGTTTTTAAAACTACTGAATCCACTTCCTCACACACTGTACAAGAGCACAAGGTAGAAAAGTGATACTTAGTGAAAGGCAGTTTTATTTTCACCCTCC